CCTTTGTTTTGCTTCTGGATGTAAATGTAGCTTCACTATGCGCCCGTTTTGTTGAACTTTCCTTTTGCTTGTAATCGTAAGAGTAGAGGTAAGGGCAAGTTGCTATTTTGTTAGCAATGCAGAAAAATCATTCTTGAAATTCGTGTACCAATGCAAATAAGTTTTCTATAATTCAGACACGAAAAATTATTTTTCTTTATTTATGTTAAACTTTTACTAATTTTTCAACTATTTATAGTTAAAATGACGGGAAGATATTCCGGAACTCAAGAAAACGTGCGCAGATAATCTTTTCCCCCACGTCACATTCAGTGTTTACTGTTTTTTGTCTGAATAAATCTAAAGTCTCGAGGTCTCGTCCGAACGTCGGAATGTCGGAAATACGAAATCCGAAACCCGAAATCGGAAATCTAAAATCATAAAATGTTTAAAAATGACTTAAAAGCAAAGAAAAGTGACATAAAAATCTGTATCAAAACAAATTCAGATGCTTTACTCAAGTTGTTCGTTGTGTTACTGATGTAATCGCAGTAGGGGACGGATTGAGAGTGGGCATGCCCCTCAAAGGCCTAGCGAAATATTAATATGATAAAGGTGGAAGAAATATTAAAATGAGAAACACGAGAAAAATTGTCGAAAAGTCTTAAATTCATCGAAAAAATAACCGCGCGTTCTCTCCTTGGCCTTTTAGTTATAACTGGGAATTTATGGTGACTGCTCATATCTCTCTTAGGGCCGGTTTCACCAACAGCCGAGTAAAGTTAATAGTAGTTACCCGAGAGTAACCATTTACTCCAAGATAGTAACTCTCGAGTAGAATATGAGCGTTTCACCATGCTTCTAGAGGGTTATTTTACTCAGAGTACATACTTTCCTATTTACTCCGCAAATCAGCTGAACACACAATATTTGAGAGTGATTCAAGAGGCTGTGAGCGAGAATGACGCTGGGAACCAATGCGGACCAACGCGAACCTTTGATTAATTCCTTATATTCTATATTTCATTTCAGTTTCGGAGTTCTTGGCGTTATAATCTGGTGTGGTGTTATGGTGGTTTGAGTTAGCATAGTTTATTTCCTAGTTTCTGTATCTTTATTTCTTAATACATATTCATTCTTCTTCTCTAGAGACGAGTTACTATTTTGTTAGCAACGCAGAAAAATCAAATTTGCAGTTCGTTTACCGATGGCGGTGCAAATTAATTTTCTATAACTAGGGAACGAAAATGTTTAGTTCCTCAAATGTTGCTGATCTCGTGTTTTTCTAAATTTTATTATTTGTTGTTTTATTTTTTTTTAACTTTTATTCACCTTTCAACTATTTGTAGTTAAAATGTTGGAAAGGGATTCTGGAACTCAAGAAAACGTGGGCAAATAATCTCCCACATAAGTCACATACAGTTTTTACTGAATAAATAAATGAATATTTCTTAGTACTTGTAGTTCCTGTAGTTATTATTTTTCCTTTTGTTGTCGTATTCGGTACGTACAACCTTTATTTCGTATCCACATGGGAGAAAAATAACTTTAGAAGTTCTCTACAGTTAACAATGTATCTGATGAAGTTAAACAGCTGATTTGGTCAAACATAACCTGAAAGACAAAATCTCGATCGCCATAATTAAAACCAATCCATTCTCTCTCGCACCCTTTGTCTTCGCACTAGTGGATAATATTCCGAATCATTGCTGGAATCGTCTACAAATACTATCATTCGTAATCGTCGAACTGTAACAACACTTCGGAGGTACATGCACGTTGAAAACTGAATTTACTCCGTACTTTACCCGACGGATTTTCGCAGTGTAAAGTTACTCTCGAGTAAACATGATTTACTCCAGAGTAAACTCTTACTCTTCGTTTGGTGAAACCGGCCCCAAGTGTGCCAAGCGACTGAGTGAGCCGCAGTGTCATTGCGCGCAATTACAGTGTACCCGAAACAAAAGAATAGGGCGTGGAATATGCGGCTGGAGAAGGCGCGGTTAAGAAGTACTTTAGAAGAGAAAGAAAATATCTAAAGAGAATAAGAAGAAAAGAGAAATAAATCTAATAAAAAAGTAGAAGAAGCTTGAAACATATTTTGTAAATCCTGTCTACTTTCTTAATTTCTGAACAATAGTTTGTATGTTAGCAAATGTAATTAATTTGTAAATCTATAACATGCGTTTTCATTTTAATTCTATTTCTTGATATCTGCATCATAGAAGAAAAAATACAACAAATTGTCGTTTTGCTCCATTGCATTCTACGATTTTGATAACAAATTATGACTATTTTTAATTTAAAACTATAAAATATTCATTAAATTTTTAGCTTAATATTTTAATTTTGTTAAAAGCATTGTATGATAATTAGGGGGCGGATTTTTAATGAAATGTCATTTTTTTACTCTAGGACATTGCTGTTTAGAATATAAATTAATTTATGTCATGACAAAAGGAAATGAACAATTTTTATAGGTAATGTTTTGCATTTTTGAAGATTTTGACTAATAAGTCATTTTTTACATATTACGTCATTTTTTTGCATTTTTTCTGATTTTATCGATTATAATAACATTTTAATGGTACTTGATTCAAACATTATATACAAACTATTCGATTTCTTCGCTTATATATTGTAATGTCAGCCCTTGTGACTACTATGTTCCTATGACACCTATCAGCGCTATTATTAGTTCTGTCGATTTGGCGATAAAGGCAAAGATTTTCGTTTAAAGAGCAGTAAAAACCAAAGGTTGCGACCTTATTTCAGTTGAACAAAAGGAAGAAGAATCGATTACATCAGTAACACATCCAACAGCTTGAGTTGTTCATCTGAAGTGGTTTTGATAACTTTTTTAGGTCATTTTTCTTTGTTTTTAGGGCATTTTATAGCATTTTATTGACCATTTCGGCAGTGTTTTAGGTCATCAAAATCCACCCCCTAGTGAGAAATAATTTTCCTTGTTTTCATTATTGAGGTCTCTAAAGACCAGTGTAGTTAAAAAATCGATGTTTAGTTTTTATTTAAAAAAATGTAGTTCCTATTAGAAATTTTTGGTTTATGTTCACAAGTGTAACATTTCAAGTGAAGGAAGTCCATCATTTCACATTTAGATTTATTCAGACAAAAAAAACAGTAAAAACTGTTTGTGACGTAGGGGGAAAAGAATTTTCCTCGATAAACACAGAAGTGAAGGTTTTCAAGTTCTATGTAATTTCAATACATAGTTTTTGAAATCAATGTGTCTAAGTTGTTGATACAATAATCAGACTTGTTATTGTAAAATACAGATAACTATTACGTGATAATCGGAACGTTATAGCTTCGAAGTAAAATGCAGTCACGCACTTTAATATTAGGCTACACACTATACATCAAATTTTCTTATTGTATTCACATGATAGAAAAGTCAAAGAATAACATTTAATGCCCAAAACAAACGTATGCCATGGTAGAAAAGTATGAATAAAATGAAACAAAACTCATATTTAACATTAATATAACAAAGTCACAAAAAATAAATAAACCAAATAATTAAGACCTGTGTAATATTCAGTCGCTTTTCTAAAATTAACAATTGTTATGTTATTATTATGTTTGTACTTGGTAGCGTAACTTTTCTGCGAAATCACTACTTTGAATCGATTCAGCAACTTTCAGTCTTTTTTTATTTTGAGCAACCTATACATACTCATTCTTCCGCCAATCGCTTCGTCTTCAATTTTTCTCTCTGGAAATTTTATTTTTTGTAATCGAGATTTCAGTTTATATTATGCACGTTGGTTACACGTTGTACGTGAAGGTATGAAGTCTGCAGAGATATTTACGAAACCTTGGGGACGTTGTAGAGAAGCCAAGTGCATACAATGTAGGCTTTATGTTTTGGATCATTGTCCTGATAAAATATAATTTTATCCTATTTTCCGAGAGTATCCGCGTTTTGGTGCAAAAATTCCTCGAGAAAGAGAAGATAACCTTCCTTCATCATTCTTTCTTCTGCACACCCCAATTCTGCAATTCTAGACAATATGCACCTCCGCACCATGCTATCGCATTCGCCCTACTTAGAAAGTCTACGGCAAATTTCATTCTTTCAAGTGTTCGTTGACTTGCGCCTTACCCTAGTTCTGCCATCTGATTGCCACAAGGTAAACTTGATCTGGTCAGCGAAAATAACATAGACCACCACTGACCCATTGTTGTCATACTGCTTCGCGAACTCCAGCCTTTTTTACTGAACTCGTTTATCAATAGCTCTTTCCTTGCCACTCTTCCATCAAATTCTTCGTCTTCACTGCCCTCACAGTTTCGAGATGTACTTTCGTTCCACATTCTTCTAACAACTCAGCAGCAATTTTCGGCCGGTAAATCCAGGATTCTTTTTACGTTCATCAATCAGGCATCTCTTTCTTCTCTAATTTTCAGACTGTGCAATACCCTTAGCGACACGCTTTCTGTTCTATTTTCTCGTTTGTATCGCTTACGATGTGGACTCTTCTTTGTAGCAGATTGACCTTTTTGTCAATTTTTCGAGTAGGATAGCCCTTTTCACGATTGAACTTCACAAGTTATCGCTGGCCAAATGAACTATTCCATCCTTTTCAGCCTATCGTCGTACTTTCGCCACATCAGAGGAAGTGACCTGAATTCTTTAACACTATAATGTCAAGTGATGGGTAACTCCAGCATCTCGTAACTCTTTCATTAGAGATAAAAACTAACTACAAATTATTTTCTTAGGTGACCTAATAATAAATTGACAGGCTTCATGGACTTTTTCAGTATATTGTTTTGGTAAACTATTATAGATCAATTACGATATATTAGTGAGACTGAATAATAACGCGAGAGACTGCATAAACATAGAATTTTTAAAATTTGTCGATTAAATGCATAATAAATGTATTGCAATGGAATAAACATTGTTTATCTCTTTAATCAATGACGCACATTTAGGTTTTTTTTCACATCAAAATAATGTGTTCATTTCCAATAAATGATAAAGTTTAACTTACCTTATCTCGAACCCCTGATACCCCCACAGAAGCGTAAAAAAGGCTGCCACACAACTTTCGTTGGGAAGAATTCTTATGGCAACCGAAGAAGTAGAACGCTTTGCGGGCAGGACTTGGTCTCAATAACTCATAAGTATTTTGAAGGTCCATTATCACCTATCAAACATTTAATGTAATAATGTAATACTATGCTCAAATGTAAAATAAGAAACGAGAGATCTGTCAAGAATTGGGTCACACACCTTCGTGTAAGATCCAATTCCATTTTCCCATGCTCCCTCAAAATACATCAGCAAGAACAAATAAAAATAAACATTATTACGTAACTTTTATAAGTTATTATTAGATCCTCCAGTCAAATTGTAAATATAAGAATAGTTATGATGAATAAAGGATGTTGTCTGGTATTAATAATTTTATTAGGCTAATGATTGTTTCGATCGCGTAGCGATAATCCTCAGAGCTTGCAGCTTCGGGGCCGAAAACAAAGTTCTGCAGCACTTTGTGTATATATATATATATATATATATATATATATATATATATATATATATATATATTATATGTATATATGTATATATATATGTATATATGTATATATATATATATACATTTATTTTTAAATAATACACACACAACAAAAGTCAAGTACTTTCAGCACGAGGAATGCTTCATATTACAATTACTAGAATGACACCAGTAATTCATTTTGCTTTGGAGATTTACCATAATAACAGAAATATTCGTAGATTGATATTCAAACTTACAAAAACCAATCGTTTAATTTGTAGTACATTTAGTCACAGAAATTATGTTTTTTAAATTACAATTTTATAATAATTTGTTTCGTCAAGGGATAGAATTTCATAGTAATAATTAATCGGAAAATAGAATTAAGAATGTTAGTTTTGTTACAACACTACATTTTTCGAAATGTCACACATTTAGTTCCATTGTTTAACTAAAATTTGTACTCCATACCTTTATTAAACGATGGTTGTCTCTTATTATTTTGCCAATAGGTGCTTTCATGTTGTCCCAGAAAACTGATGGAGCTATATCAATTTTAAGTCGGAATTTATTCACATATTCCGGCTTGTTAGACAACATGACATAATATATATTATTACCCATGGAATGAGCAACGTGAATAAGTTTCTCTCGTCCAGTTTCTTTCAATACATAATCTACCATTGCTGGGGTGTCGTACATCCCCATTTCATGCCAACTAAAAGAGATTTATTTTACATTAACTAAGTTATTTTGCAGTTGCAAAACGTGTTCAGAAAATTCGCTGTTTGTTGATTTCTGATAGCTTGTGCCTCACCTGAAGCGCCAAAAGCGCTTGTCTTTCGCGGTGAAGTTGACGTGCTCTCGCGAGTAGTAGTTGCCACGGGTGTTTCCGATCCAGACGTCGTAGCCGTCGTCTGCCATAAAATAAGCTGCAAAAACGATTGCGACTTAAAAATTCAATTCAAACAAAAAAGGAACATTTGTGCATTTAAAAATATTATTAGTGGTTACAAAATTTAAATATTTCAACTAAGATAAAGATTCCCGTTTACTCCAGTCGGTCTTTCCGTATGTTTCATGTTCATGTTTTGCCCAACCTCTGTTCGGTTGCCGATTGACTTGCATCGAAGGGGCCAAAGGGGCGACCTCCGTTTGGAGCGCTCGCCGAGGGGGCCCGAGGGGGCCCTCAATGGCAGCTGATGCCCTTTCCCTTTTCGTTGCCTGAGAAGACTCGGAATAGGTACAAATTTTAATTATGTTTGCATTTGTAAGTAGAGTTCTCGCAACGATCCAGCGAAAACCTCAAACATGGGAAACCATGGCAGAATCATTGGATATGAATATGTTAAGTCGAGGTAGGAAGATATATGTGATATGTGATTTCATGGCGTGTTTGCATAAATTTTCAAGCGATGGTTTTCATGAGCTCACTGCTTTCCCTGAGATTCGGCATTTGCACAGAACTGACACTCACTTGGCTTACAGAACAAATGACTCGAATATCGCTAGCAGCTGAACTTCAATGAAAGAATCGAGCGTGAAGTGCGTGTTAAATAGTGCATAGTTTATGCAATTAGTTTATAATGTTAAGCTTTATTGCGTGAGTACATGTTTTGAAAATGAGCCACGATAGAAGCGATTTTTCAAATTTGTACAAATGCAATAAAGCAACATTATAAACGAGCCGCATACGCTATTTTTTATGACAGCATTATAAATTTATAAGAGAATCAAATTTAATTTTGCGAAACAACTTTCTTGTGACGTCCCGGGTATAGTGCAAGAAAACGGTGATCGGCAGATCCGTTTACCTCCACCTCCCCATGATTCTCTAGCTGCGGTTGGCTGAATATGTGATGACGCAATCATTCGTGCAGTAAAATGCTAATATGTCCGCATTTATGCCGTAAAATGCTCAATTACGAACGATTTCTTGCAACAGAAAAGGTAGTTTGTAATGCTGGTATACAAGAAAATACTTTGCGTGACAGTTATTTTTAGTGCCTGAAGGCGTGTCCCGCTGGTGAGACATACCTGCTACGAGAAAACCCCACAAGCCGACGTGTAGGTCAGCTTCATCTCTCACTATCGAGTGCAGAAAGAACCCCACCACCTCCCATGACAAATTCATGCACTGACTCATGATGCACCGATTCATGCTCATGATGGGATTAATGACCGTAGTAGTGGACACCTCTGGTGGACGCCACCGGAAACACGAAATAAGCAATCGACCAAGCGATCGCATCCCAGTGCCATGCCCCTTTATGCCCAAAATTGTGATCTACCTTTTTAATTGATTTGGACAGAATCCTGGTTTAGAGGTTTTAATGAGGAATGTGAATGCCATGACCCAACTGAAAACAGCCACAACAAAAACCGCCAGGATTACTGTGAAGGTCGCGCACATGTCATGTCATGGAACTTATAGAGCCTCCAATAGGTGTTTCTGTTAATTGTCTATAACATTGTCGAAACTGAATTCAATATTACTCAGCAAACACTTAACAATGATTATAATGTCTTCTAAAGGAAACGAGAAATCTGTGAGTTTTAAATTAAATTCTCTTAAAGCTTCAATTATCAACTGATGCGGAATACTTGAAAACATCGCAACATCTGTTGAAAATGTTTCGTGTTCATGAGATAGATTTTGCAACAATTTTGTTAACTCAAAACTATTCTTAACAATATGCCATTCATTAATTTTTACTTTTCCATATACATACGTATATACGGAGTAATATACATTGAGTATAGAGAAAGTTATGTAATGCTGCGCGAAAAAAGACAAAATGTTTGGCAGAAAAAAACTATTATCTGATCGGCTTAGTTTACAAGAATTAGAATTAGTTATTTATCAATAATGTACTTAGACTAACCAATAAACACGTTAAAATCCTAATACTGATGGAAATAAGCGTTTTTGCCAAGAATTAATAAGAAAATATTCGCTAAGCGAATGCTAAACGAATTGTAGAGAGTTTCGGCAACGCAGCGCTGTCCAAAGAGCATTTCCCGCTTCTGTATAATTTACTTCAAATATTGTAACAGTCAAATGTATTCCTGCTTGTTTCATTTGTAAAAGTAAGAAACAATTGCTGCTCATGACTATCGAAGTGAGTGCAGATATGCATCACAGGCGCTCTGTTTGAATTAGACGTCTTCAAGAAATAGCTGAGCTGAGGTGTAAGACACAAATAACATACAAACTTAATAACATACAAATTGCAATATTTCAGTATTGCGCAGCTGATTCCTATAATGCGAGAGTGTAGCACCTCTAGCTGAAAAAACAAAAGGATTTAGCGAAATAAATTTTATGTAATCTTTAAGGGTGCGATTTGCATGAACATCTTTTGAAAAAACCGCGTTTAAACAGTTCTGAAGATGCGGATTTTTGTGCTCATTTTTGAGTTTTTAGAAACTTTTATCAGATCCCATCTGAAGCATATATACCGAGAATTGCAAGAATGTAAACAAATGGCCGTATATCTGCCAAAATACAAAAGCGAGTGTGGAGCAGTCACCCGGAGAGATGCCAGGTCCGCCGACGACCCAGCTGTCGGTGGCGCCGAAGATGCCGTGCTGCAGGAAGACGGGCCCGCGCCACGCGCCGCCGCCGCCGCGGCCGCCCGGGATGCGGTGCATCGTGAGGATGAAGTCGTCGGCAGTGCGGACCTTGTGCACCTCCAGCGGGTAGCCGTGCGCTCGAATCGCCTCTGGCTGGCGGGCAAATTTCAAGCTCCTTTACAACATTCCTCGCTCAGCTTACTGTTCATAATTGAAGACAATTATTTTGCTTAGTGCATTTTTTCGGTTGGGCTTAACCCTGGCATTGTCCTGTTTTTACTTTCTCGCGACTAGAGAAAAAGTTATGTAATGCTGTGCGAAAAAAGGTCGAATTTTCAGCATAAAAACTCTTAGTACAGGGCTGTGGTAACGAAAAAAGATAAATCCAGATGCTCAAATTAGAAAAATCCCCAATCACGTGTGCTAGCCATAGTCTATGTTTTGTGGGTTCTTAATACCGAAAAATTGAATGACGGCAAAACTATCTGTTCATCTGCCTGACTGTGAACAAGCCTAGTGGCTAAACGGTTCAGCAGATTTGCTCCAAAATTGACATAACGGATCAATCTGGCGGATGTCTCGGCCCCTGGAATTTGAAATCGATATATTAATTTTGGGGGATACCTTCGTGCAGCCCTGGGGCATTTTCAAAAATTTCAAATAAATGACTCGTTTGATTTTGGTTACATGTTGTTGTCGTATGTTCTGAAGGATGTTTAAGAGAATGGTACAGCTCGTATTTTTATTGAAAACTTAAATCTTTCAAGAATTGCAAAAATTCATTTTTTTTCGGCGTGTTCCTACAACTAAAATATTATAGATAGAGATTTTTTTCTCAGAATAAAAAAGTTCCTTAAAGATTGATTTTAAAATAAGGTCATGTACAATTTTTCGGAAATTTGAGTATTTTTCGCATTATGTTAAGCAAAATATACGCTACTTTTAATTTTGTATAAACAATATTTCTTCTTAAAAACGGCTTACTCGTTTTTGATAGATTTTGTTGTTTGGGATAGTCTAAAGAACTTTTAAGAAAACGGTGCAGACCTCGTGGTATTTGAAAAAACTTGATTATTCGAAAATTGAAAAAAATCAAAATTTTTTCGGCGTCTTCCTTCAACTATAATTATGAAGATCGTTTTTTTAAAATGGAATGTGTTCATAAAAACAGATCTTCAATTAAGGTCATGTTGAATTTTTGAAAATATGAGTTATTATTTATGTAATTTCGTGACAATGATAATAGCCCCAATTGACTGCGCATCGTTTACGTAGTAGAGGTAATTCCAGCAGGATGCTTCGGAAGTTACAATTTGTATGTTATTTCATATTTCTTTGGGCATTTTACATTCGAGCTTTGTTGTTATTTACGTTTACAAATTAATCTTGTATAATTTATTTAACAACTATTTAAAATTGCAATATTTAATTTGAGTTAAATGAGAAAACGATCAGATGATTTTGCTTTGCACAATATGTGGGAATCAAGAGTAATGCGCTTAAAAATTCGAGTAGTTTTAAGATAAATGTATTTGAACTGCAAATTGTGGCAGCTAATTACATTAATAAGGTAATACAGCTAACATGCAAATTATATAATAGTAACAATAATAAAAAAAATTATGTTATAAAAACTCTAATTCATAAAACATTTAATTACTTTACAAAAAAGAAACATGTATAATCTAACTCTGCACTGAATGTTAATTCAATTAAGACCTCACTGCACTTCACTTCACTATGACCCTTTAATTTATTTTACCCCATAATCTTAATATTTCTCTGTTCTACACCTTACGACACCTTACTTTACAATATATTACTTACGCATCGCTCTATAACCTACTATTCTCAGTTAAGTCCCTCATTTACTTAGTAATACCCAAAATAATTTCCTAAACTGTTGAAAGCTACGAGGGAAGGGTTCGAAGGTTATTGCAGGCAATCTTTTCCATTCCGTTATCGTTCGATTTGTGAAAAAAAGTTTCCCGACATCCGTCCTCTGCGGTCTTAAATTTAGTTTGTGCCTGTGATCCCCCCTACTGATGTGTGTTTGCTGTGTTTGAGGAATATAACAATATAATATTTAATATGATGATTTGTATCCATTTTCATTTTCTTGACAGGTGTTTCAAGAATGCTAATTGGCAAAATATTGTATTCCATACTAATGTGCAGTCATTGTTGCATGTTTGAACACATTGTTGTAACGCCTCACTGATAACAGAAGGCGACACAGGAGGCAGCGAATCGTTCGCGTTAATAGAACTAATAATTTTATTAACAGACTAAAATCGCCCATTGTTGGTAAATTTATGTAGAACGTGAATACTCTGAATTCATTGGCAGAAAGGTGTTTCCGTTTAAATGTTTATATTAAAAATATATGTATTTTGCACGCTTAGTTTCCTTAAGAATGTTTCAAATGGTACTGCAATTGAAGTGTATGAGAGATATTGTATTATAATATTACATGGTTTTTAGCAATATCGCGAGAAAGTACGTGCTGTTGAAGCCCCACCATTTTCATTGTTTTACCATTCATTTAGTTATAAACCTACATGCGATTATCGAAACGTTGTATACAACGTATAAAATTATGTTTATTTTGTTTTATTCTGATTTGCAGAAATAAATTATATTACACCTGTAGCAAACCAAATTACAAAAATTAGTCTACAAACGCGTCTTTGACAAAAACGAAAAACCCTTAAGAAGTTATTAGGTGAGGTTGTAACCGGCAGGTTAAACCGAATATGGACAACGCGGAATAGCCTGAAATCTAAGATTTGTTAAAAAACGTCATCCCAAGACCAGTCAGCGTATCGATTGATTTTTCAAGTTACTCAAAACCATGATAATTATTATTATCATCACAGTTACCAATGTATGTTTATTCTATCCAAATTATTTCTACCTATCAATTTAGATTACGAAGAAATTACCCAGCTACACATCAATTATTACGCGTAACTGAATATATTGTGTAATCTTTTCATTCTAAAGAGCATACTGTTGTATTATTACTAGACTAGCTCAAGCTTTTGACAAAGTCTGGCATAAAGGACTCCTATTTAAACATCATGATATTGGAATAAATATTTGTTAAAAATAATTTAAAGTTTACTTTTAAATTGTCATTTTGCAATTAAAATTAATTCTTCTCTTTTCACTTTACGTCAAATTTATTCGGGAATTCCACAAGTTTTAACTCTTTTCCCACTAATCTATAACATCTATATATCTGATATTTGTACTCTACCTTTCGTCTTTTTAGCTCTTTTCGCAGATGATACTGAATTATTTTCACCCCATTCTCAAATAAAAATTGCACGTAACATCCTTCAAAATCCTATTCAAAGCATATCAAGTGGACTCAAAACTCGAGAATTAAAATTAACATCCTTCAAACACGAGCTAAAAATTTCACACTTTGCAGATCTACTAATCCTCCCCAAAATTATTAATAATATAAATATTCCTCGATTAGGTAACAATATCGCTGTTAAATATTTAGGCCAATCCCTGGATAAATGTTAAACGTGGAAACCTCATTTCTCAAATATTGTTGACAAAACATATCAAAAAATCTCTAGGCTTAAACAGTTAAAACATACAAATTCTAAATTACGATTAAAATGTGATATATTAATATACAAAATGATTATTCGGTCATCTCTTACTTACACGTGTTCTAATATGGTGCAATATATCTTCCACGCATATGAAAAAATTACAAACCCTACAAAATAATTTTCTAAGAAAGTTATTACCAGCCGAATAGTTTACATAAAATAAACAAATTCATCGAGAATTACATATAGAATCTATTAAAACATTTATAATAACATAGTCCATAACGTTTTATAACTTATTACCTTCTGATCCTGCATCAAACATTTTTTATTTGGGTCAACCCTATGAAACCCTCCGTATTTGCACAAGATTCCCCAAATATCCTCCATAATTTTCTTTTTACAAATTTTAAACACATTTCAATTGGAAATATTTATAATTAATATCTTACTCAATTCAACAGGCAATAAATAAAAGTTTAAAAAAATAACATAACTAGTGGCTTTAGCAGTTTTATCTAATTGTTAGGACACCGTTAACTACAGTCGCGAGACAGAAACTATACATCTTCATCAATATACCAAATGTAGGTTACAGTAAGCGGCATACCAAGTTGTTTTTGACCTTTTAACTAATAGCTTTTGAAGCTAATGAACTTTTTTGTCGCTAAGGAGGGCAAAACTTGTGGGTTAAAGGAACTCCGAAAAGTGTCCTGTAATACCGTTATAGAATGGAGTCACGTCCAAGCCCCAAGGTAGCGCAGTTGGACGGTGCCAACGGCTAAATTAAGTTTTGAAATGGCATGGGGTGATGCTTCCCAAATCCATGTCTGACTGGAGTGCGAATTAAGAAAGTAGTAATACGTACTATTGTTTGTCAATGTGAAAGTTGCAACTTTGATATTTTTTGTTGAATAAGAAAGTTTATTTTTGTTTGATTCATGACGAACATCTCTATGAGAATAAAAGGCTTCATGCTAACAATTTAAAATTTATTCAAGTGTATTGTTGACCTTATCTCCAATGAAACCAGGGATTTCTAGGTTCAACGAGAGAAAACATCCGCAGAGGGAAATACTGTTCTCAGAAAGTAATTTCCGACCTACATTTATTCTTGCACATCGCTTCCTTGCGAAGATTCTCACTTCACTGCCGTTCCTGCAGTGGTTCCTAAGTTCGACGAGAGAAAACCCCTGTAGAGGGATATCCTTACATCCATTAGTGATTAATTCAACCAGACCACTACGATCTAAACCAGGAATGACCAGCGGTGGCCAGTGAGTTGCTTGCGAGCTACGATGTGTACCATTGTGACCCGACACCTCTCACAGTAATTGATAATTATTTTGTATTTTTAAACCTTAATGGAAATCATGCAATCATCCCCAAATTCGAGACAATAACTGGACACATACGTTGATTGATGTTTTCGGCTGCGTAAACTGCTGTGTTGAATAGTCCCGTTAGTAGAGTGAATGTTTTGTAGCGGTGTTCCTGCCTCGC